GTGATTACCTTAATTTCTGACTTACAGGTGAGATAACTGGAGCTTAGACAGGAAAAGAATTTGTCCTGGGATGCAATGTTAAATGTGAGAACCCCAAGCTTGGACATGAAGATTCTGCATCCAAAGACTGTCCAAAGACTTTTAATTCAGCCACCAGAATAGCTGTGAAAAAGTGGAAACATTCAGACACTCTTCAGGGTGATAGTTCAGGGCTCCTCAAGCCTAAGCATTAGAATCACCTGTCGGGTCTGATAAACCCAGATCACTGCGCTTTACCCACAGAATCTCTAAGACAATAGGCCTGGGCTAGGACCCAGCTATTTGCATTTGGGGCAGGTTCCCAGGTGAGACTGATGTCTCTAGCCCAGAAAGCACTACCTTAGCCAATATTAGAACTGTATTTATTTCTGGGTAAGTGGTTGCAACGCCAAGTGCACATCATCAGCTGGAAAGTTTTAAAATAAATATACTGAGACCTGGGCCCTATCCCAGACTGGCTGAATCACACTTTCTAAAGACAATTCTGGGCATCTTAGTTATTTTCTCATTACTGGGACAAAACACTTGGCACCCAAAAGTTATAAGAGGGAAGGTTTATTTTATCTTGGTTTGCAGAGGTTTTAATCCATAGTTGGCTGGCTTGGAGGCAAAGCAGCATTAACTCACAACAGTGCAGACAAGAAGGCAGCAAAACAGCAGGAAGGAGGCTCCCTTTGCCTTTTATCTCATCCAGGCTACAAGCCTATTGCTTGGTACCATCCACACCAGGGTGGGCCTTCCCATTATTCACACCAGAACTATGCTACACCAATTAGTGAACTGTAGTGGATGGACAACTGGTGGTCAACTTATAACCCCCAGCTGAACTGAGTAAGCGTGGTGCTGGGTGTGTGAGGCCCACCTGGGGACTGTTGCCAGTAGCATAAGAGGCAGAACTGGAGAAGAAGTGAGGCTGCTGGGAACTGAGAGAGGCTATGGGAGCTGGTAGAAGCTGTAAGGAGCTGTTGGTTCTATTGGAGGAGCTTGTCATGCTGGCTTTCCTGATGAACTTGGCTCGGGAGCCAAGGAGCTCAGGACCTCGTTGGCACTGAGAATAGCTTCAGTTCACTTTAGGGGAAGCACTAGTCTTCACTTTGTGCATTGCTTCCTGGCTCCAGAGGGGAAGAAGGTGCATAGCTCAGTCTCCTGAAGAAGCTTGCTGCATTGGCTTTCCTGATGGAAACCCAACTGTCCTGATCATAGGAGGAGCTCGGGACCTCACTGCTGCTGAGGATGGCTGTGGTACCTTTCAGGGGAGCTCTGGTTCTTACTCTGAGCATCACTTCCTGGCTCCAGTGCAGATCCCTCAGCCCGCTAGCACAGATCCTTCATCCCACTGGCACAGACTTTCTAGCTTCCATCACTGACCTTTGGGCCTTCCCAGTGCAGATCTTTGAAACAGGCCTGCATGAGATATTGTTGTGGGCTCCGGGCCTCCAGTTAGACTCATGGGAGGCATTGTTATGAGATCTAGGTCTTCAGCTGGACTCATGCAGGACATTTCCATGGGATCCAGGCCCTTGGCTGGATTCTCTGGTCTTTAATGTGTGGACAGATTTCCTGCACTCTTTTGTAAATCGTTTTTTGGGTGACTATTATAAATAATCTTATAAAATGTGTCCTGTATTATATTATTCCCCTTGCAAAATATTTCCCAAGCCAACACAGTGGGCTAATTTAGTTGCCACATACCCTTAATCCATATTCCTACACCCTAGATGCAGTCAGCTTTGAACAGCCCACCTATGAGTACACAAGGCTTTGGGGGGACAGCTAGATACAGCATCACTGTCTTCATGGTGCTGCTATTGATTGTGGCACACAGCCCACTCTAAGATCAGTGGTTTATGGCGAATATACAGGTGTTCCAATGCTTGCAGTCAGGAATGCAATTGTGTCTCAGATGGTTGGTATCCTTTCTGCAGGTGAATAACTCAACTCTGGTTTTTTCCCTAATTTGGTCTTGGGGTCTCTGTGTAGGGTAGCTATTAATTCTCCCCACCCCTGACAGGACAGAAGGTCATGGATGTTTACAGCGTGCCTGGTGTGTGGCCTAATATCTGTGTTACTGACCCATAACCAGCCTTTGGCTCCTGTCTCACTTGTGTCCAGTTTGTTCCTACCAAGGCGTTAGCCATTCTTTCAGAGAACCCTGACTGGAAGAGAGCTGGGTCTGGGTGTGTGTCACAGCAGACACGGTGAGGTGAAGCCAAAACGAGTGAGGTTAGGGTGCTGCAGGGAGTCCAGTCAGGAGGCGGCGGGAAGTTCAAAGAGCAGGTGGGGAAAACGGAATGAGAGGGCTGAGGGGACCATCTATGCCTGGATGGAAGGTCATGGACCTGTCCCGTTGGCTTTCTCAGGAGGCTGCGGCTTGGCAAAAGAAATGACATGCCATGGGGGGAATGTGCGCTCGTGACTCTGGTGTTGAGTATCAGGTTAATTTATAGTCAGCCGCTGTGGGCGTGCTGAGTTTCGGGATCAGTGGGATGAGGAACAACTGGGCTACACCACAAAAGATCCTGCAGGGAGCGGATGTTTTAACTAGGCCAAAGGTGACAGGGTACCACTAACTTCAACTTACTGCAGGCCTAAAAATGGGTGCCTAAAAATTGTCAACACTGATATAAGTCACTTGCCTCTTCCCACAAGGGAGAAAATTAAAAACAAAAACAAAAAAAGGCGGAGAAACATGAGGTGACTTCTCTAAGGTTGTAAGGGCAAAGCAAATATGAATTAGAAATATAAGGCTTCATTTCCCCTGTTGAAAAAAAGAAAAGACACTCCCCCAACCCGTGACATTTTTAAAGAGATATGAGAAGGCTTTACTAGCGGTAGATATAGGATGCACTCAAGGGTGGAATGTGGGTGCTCACAGAAAGAGGCACTCCTGACTTTTCTTAGGACATCTACTTAAGAAAGCGTGTTCTGTCAATTCGAAATGCATATAAACCTTTTTAAAGGCCAGCACGTCTCTTGCACCTTCATGATTCAGAACATTGTTTCTCAAGGACCCAGGAACCGCCTCTTGGAAATGTAACCTCAAAGAAGACTACATGTGTGTGCGCGTTCATGTAGCCTATCTTCAACAGGTGCTTTCCTCCAAAACTGCCAACTGCCATGTGATTTTGCTCTGGAGAAGGAAATTTATTAACGCAAATGGTCATCCCAACTTAGGATGAGCTCTGTGTTTGACAAGGGGTGGCCGGTCCACTTGTTTGAGGACTGGATATTGTTTATTAGAGAATGGACTACACCGGCTTGACCGTGAGAGGGCGCTATTCCTGTTTTTGCCATCTTTTTTGCAGGTTGCCTGAGAAAAGCATTCCCCTTTGCTTTAATGCTTATTCAACAGTAGAACATTCATCTTTATGTTTTACTTTTTGTGGAGAAGTTTTGTGAGCTACCTTGTTCGAGTTTATTTCTCCATCACGGTCACACAGGGAAGCAGGACTGGGTCACAAGAAGGAACCCCTGGATTCTGGGCCTCGTACTTCCTCACCAGAGAGCTGTGGTATGTCTGCTGGCATCCGCAGAGCAGGTGTCTTCTCCCTCCAGGGAGTCTCCAAGTCCCATGCTGACAGGACTGTGACTCATACGTTTCCTGTTACTTTTTCAATGACCCACAAAGTGGCAGGAACATGGCTAATACTCCGCAAACACGTTTGAATTGCTGAACTTGGCGAAGGTCAGTCACGTGGATTTCCATCGTAATTCATGCTTTGCTTCGAATACAGTCCAGAGTCTCCCGAGGCTTGTTGACATTTAATCCGCACTCCAGGCAGTGAGAAGGTGGAATCTTAACCACAGCGGTTAGGGTGGGGCCTGTGAGACGAGACTAGGACTAAATAAAGTCACTAGGATGAAGTGCCCAAGATTGAATCCTGGCGACTTCATACGAAGAGAAGGGATAGACATGCTCTGTCTCTGGCCCTGTGGTGTCCTGTGTGACCTCAGGACGGTGACCATAAAGTTATCCCTGGGTGTGGTCCCTCAACTTTGAACTTCCAGTGAGTCAAGATAACCCTCTTTTCTTGATAAAGCCACCCAAGCTCAGGGCACACAAACCACCGTATTCACCAACAAGCTGGGCGTGTGGGTGGAGGAGGATGCACGCGACCCGCATGGAATAGAAAGGACATACGATGTGGGCTGCGGGGCAGGAAGAACTCTGGAAGTCCTGGCCTTGCAAACTAATTAGTTCTTGCTTAGTTTTAGCGTCTTCACGTGTTAGGACACACACACACACACTCCACTACCAACGAAACCCATATGCTGTTTAGCGTGTAGATTTCCTGGGACGATGACCAACTGCGGATACGGAAATCCTTTGTAATGACAGCATTTACGATGTGCCAAAAGCATGAAGAACTTTCCGCACATTCTCAGTTAATCCCCACAATGACCTTTACTTCGCGGATGAAGACCCTGAAGCCCAGAGAAGTAATCTGACTGGTGCTGCACGGCTGGCATGCAGAGCTGGGATTGCATGTGACAGTGTCCTGGTACAGTTATCGTCCACCTGGAGAACCTCAGGACCTCCCCGCCCCACTCTCTGTCCTGCCCTGTCCAGCAGCTGCCCCCCCTTGGGCTCCTCTTGGTTTTTTTTCATAGCTTGTTTCTTTGTAGCTCAGCTCTGAGATATTTAACAGCCAGCAGTGAGCGCAGACGCCCCCAGGAGACCCAGGGGTGGGCTCCCCTGCCAAGGACAGCGAAGGTCAAAGTGCCTGGGGAGACACTGGGCTTGCTGTGCGGCTGGGAGCTCACACAGAAGCGACAGGGCCGGAGGGAGATGCGAGGGGGCGGAGGTGTGCACGACCGCAGGAGCCCCACCAAGGGACCTGAGGCCTAGCCTGGGACTTGAGCAGGGTCCCTCAAACCCTCCCTGATACTGCAAAAGGGGCGGCTCGGGAACCAGAGGCGTGCCCAGCCGAGGACCGCGCACACAAGCAGCCCGAGCCCAGGACAGTCCGAAGCCGCGCCTTTATTTGGGGGCAGCCCCGCAAAGCCGGGCGGGGCCGTGCTGCTGCTCACGGGGGCGTCGGGGCGGGCTCCGCCTGCGGCTCCAGGTCCCCCTCCGCGTCGCCGGCCTGCAGCAGCGGGAGGTGGCTGCGGGCCGGGGTCTCGGAGCCGGGCTCCCTGCTCCCCCGGACCCCGCCGCTTCTCCCCCGGGTCTGTCCCGAACCCTCGCCCCCGTCCTCGGCCCCACTTCTCTGCGGACCCCGGCCTCTGGGGCGCTCCGGGATGGTCCCTCCGAGCTCTGGAGCTCCGACTTCGGTCTGCGGAGGAGAGAGCGAGAGGAAGCCGCCGAGAGGCAGCGGCGGGGCCGGGTCGGGGCCGGGTGGGGGCCGAGGGGA